ATAATATTTTATTTGGGGAAATGAAGAGGAGGGGGTTTGATTCCTTCCCAGAGCAGGTTAGTGGGGTGGGGAGGGAATGGGGATTTTGAAGTAACCTTCCCCTGGAGTGGGGAGGGAATGGGGATTTTGCAGTATCCTTCCCCTGTCACGCCTGCCACGCCACGCCACACCTACCAAGCCATGCCCACAGAACCAGTAGTAAAAATTTTTGAAACCCACCACTGCATAAGTCCATCTTAATATGCTATTCCTGGTATGTGATGTTTTGTATACATACAGAGAAAGAAGCACTCTTATAATCTTTGACTTTTAGGCTTGCTGTCAAACATCAGCCATAATACTATTGTATTATGTTTTGAACAATATGCAGGTTGTATTACACGAATGGCTATTTTATATGTGAAATTATGACTGAAATATTTCTGCACTTATATTGGTTCACACTGTCAGGAAGTTTCTCCTTAGTTTTAGATTGCTTCTCTCTTTGTTCAGTTTCCATCCATTGCTTCTTGTTTTGCCTTCTGGTGCTTTGAAAAATACATTGTCCCCCCCCCTTCTTTCAGGCAGCCCCTTAAAAGCCTGTTGCCTATCACACTGTTGGGCAAAGCATGTGAGCCATTTCCTCCTTTCAGTGGTCCATGAAAGTGCATCTATAGTATGTAGATAATAAAGTTGAAAAAAGGTGAACAACATTTTTACAGAACTATAGATACGTTGAGGCTGGGTGTGACAAGGAATGGCTGGGAGGGGAGGGGCCAGGTGAGGCACCCCTTGACGTGAGTGACATTGAGTTGGCCACGCCTACCCCATCACAGGACCATCAAGCCACACCCACTGTCACATGACCATCAAGCCACACCCACAAAATAAGCCACGCCCACAGAACTGGTATTAAAAAAGTTTAGAATCCACCCCTGCTTGGACCCTGGTAATCTCCCATCTGGACTATCACAATGGGCTTACATGAGGCTACCCTTGAAAAGAACCCAAAAGCTTCAGCTGGTACAGAATGCAGCCATGTGAGCAATTTTGGGAATCCCATGGATGGAATTTGTAACACCTCTGCTGCACGAGCTGCACTGGGTGCCGGTTTGCTTCCAGATGCAATTCAAGGTTTTGGTGATGATCTTTAAAACCCTGCAAGGCATGAGGTTAGGTATGGACTTGTGTTTTCCCCATTACATCGGCCCTTCCCAACTGGTCAGGCAGCCAATGTATGTTAAAGTACCATCTTTCAAGAAGTCAGTTAAAGAGACCTTTCTCTGCTGTCACTCCCGCTTTTTAGAATATTCCTCCCACACCCACACCCACAGAGGTGAAGTAGGGCCCCACCCTCCTGACCTTTTGGGAGAGTTTGAAGACCTAGCTCTGCCATCTTGCTTGGGTCTTGCAGAGAAGCACACACCCTTGTGGTTGACTTTGTACCTTGAAGGCTCTCCCCCTGCCTTTATAACTTTAATTATTCTGTTTCTGTTCTAACTACCTCCTATTGAAATATGAGATTTATACGGTTTTTATGTTTTGAATTGTACACCGTCCAGACTCACTCGGTGGGTGAGATGGGCGGTCTCTAAATTTGTTAAATAAATAAAAATAAAACACCTGGTGGTGTTTCTATCTTACCTCCTAAGTGACTGGAGGTATTTGCTGAACGTGGCCCACCTTGCCATGGGATCCAGATGAATGGAAAGTATTCACATCCTTCTTAAAAGATGTCCTTTGGCTGCGTTATCATCTGTTTGCTGATGTATTTCACTTCCTGAAGGTATGCGGTGGTCCCTAAGCCTCCAAATGAATGAGGCAAGCTGGCATGAGTCACCAGGGCCTCCAGAGATGAGATACTTTCCTGTTCCACACATCCTGATTGAATCTGCGTCATCGGTGCCACCTGATTGCACTGCAGAGCTGAGCAATAACGGCAGCAGAATACATTCAGTGCATGCTGCTTTCCTAGACTCTGCTCTTTGCTGCATTCTAATAAGTGTATGGGATAAGTGAGCTCCTAGCTTCTGTGCCTCTCTTGTTCTCATCACCTTAGCTGTCTTTCTCAGTTCAAAGTGCTACGCATAGAAGAGAATTGTGACTCAGCCGGCGAGAAATTGCTCGGTGCGTTGCTGTCTTCGGCTCTGCAAACATTGCTTGCCCGCTGCAGCTGCCTTGAGACAGCTTCTTCTGGACTTCAGCAAGACCTCCCGCACTGTGAAATGCTCCAGAGGCCAGCCATTCCCTGCTGTGCTACTAGCCCAAAGGTGGAACCACACCAATATCTAGTTGTATTCTCCTCCCACTTAAAATGGGACATTCCTTTTGCTTCACTTTCCTCCAAGCCCCCTTGTCCAGCTGGCCTGTCGTTCCCAGACCAGAAAACATTTTCAGCCAGAAAGACTCATTCTTTTGTACTAATTTTCTAAGTTTTGGCATGCATCACAGCCATTTCAGCCAGATCTATATATACACATTCACAGACACCAATACTCCTGCATGTATTTTTTTTATACATGGCAAAGGAATGGCCTGGCCCTTTCTACTCAGCAATTCAGATTCCCCCCCCCCCAAAAAAACCCCTCCTATTAGCCTGCTTTTATGAACCTAATGATCATACATTATTATTGTTAATTTTTTTTCTAACAATTAAAATTGTAAATTTTCTCTTTGAATCCAAATGCAAAGTGTTTTTTTTTTCCCCACAGTGCCTTTCAGTGCCATTGCGCCACACTTTTTTCAGTGCCGGTGTAACTTTGAATGGTCACTGAATGAACTGTTGTAAGTCAAGGACTACCTGTAGTAATTTTATTTTAAAAAACTAATACAAACTAAAAGAAAAGAATAAAAAGACAAAATTGAAAGGGCAGAAAAGAAGAAGAAAATAGATAATAAACCTAATAATACAGTAAAGAAAAAGAAAAGAAACATATTAAGAAATGACTCCCCCTTCATCATGTATAAACAATCTTAATAACTTAAGATAACTTATTTAACTTATCTTATCTATTAATAACTTATCTTCTAATACAATAGATGATGTCTTCTTCCCATATCCCACCTTTTATCCATAAACAATTCCTTAAAACCTGCCAGCCTTCCCAGATAGATTATACAGGAAATACGAGTTAACTCTATTTTATTGTAAGATTACATTAACAGAATCTTGCAAGTCCGGAACTACATACGAGGGGATAGATGGGGAACTCATCAAATTTGCAGATGACACCAAGCTGGCAGGAATAGTCAACACTCCAGAAGATAGGCTTAAGATACAGAAGGATCTTGACAGACTTGAACATTGGGCGCTATCTAACAAAATGAAATTCAGTAGTGAAAAAAGCAAGGTTCTACATTTAGGCAAGAAAAACAAAATGCACAGGTACCGTATATGTGGTACCTTGCTCAATAGTAGTAACTGTGAGAGGGATCTTGGAGTCCTAGTGGACAACCATTTAGATATGAGCCAGCAGTGTGAAGCAGCTGCCAAAAAAGCCAACACAGTTTTGGGCTGCATAAACAGAGGGATAGAATCAAGATCACGTGAAGTGTTAATACCACTTTATAATGCCTTGGTAATGTCACACTTGGAATATTGCATTCAGTTTTGGTCACCACGATTTAAAAAAGATGTTGAGACTCTAGAAAGAATGCAGAGAAGAGCAACAAAGATGATTAGGGGACTGGAGGCTAAAATTTATGAAGAACAGTTGCAGGAACTGGGTATGTCTAGTTCAATGAAGAGAAGGACTAGGGGAGACATGATAGCAGTGTTTCAATATCTCAGGGGTTGCCACAAAGAAGAGGGAGTCAAACTATTCTTCAAAATACCTGAGGGTAGAACAAGAAGCAATGGGTGGAAACTAATCAAGGAGAGAAGCAATTTAGAACTAAGGAGAAATTTCCTGACAGTTAGAACAATTAATAAGTGGAACAACTTGCCTGCAGAAGTTGTGAATGCTCCAACACTTGTAATTTTTAAGAAGACGTTGGATAACCATTTGTCTGAAGTGGTGTAGGGTTTCCTGCCTGGGCAGGGGGTTGGACTAGAAGACCTCCAAGGTCCCTTCCAACTCTGTTATTCTATTCTATTCTATTCTATTCTATTCTATTCTATTCTATTCTATCTATTCTATTCTATTTCTATTCTATTCTATTCTATTCTATTCTATTCTATTCTATTCTATTCCTCACTGTTTCTTTTACAGAAGCTGGGAGGGTCCTTGTCTTGCTCCATCCATTAGCTAGATGTGTATTATGCCCCTTTCACCCTGTTTGTGATCTTATTTGACCATTCCCTAGGCAGCATCTCTTTGCCCTGTCTTCCAAGCTCTTTCCCATAATACACCATAATGAAACCTTGTTGTTTCAGTCCTGATCAGCAAAAGTCCATAAAGGATCACACACAGACAACAACACATCTATTTTAACCTTGATCAAATAAACTAACTTCATATTCTTTCCTTTTATTTTTAACAGTCTTGATCTTTAGTATCTTCAAATAATAGAACTTGATTTTTCATTTTTTTTCCTCCCTTCCCACAAAATTCTTCAAAGTTTTAACAATCTACCTTTGTAAATCCATTATAGGAAAATTATCCAGGTCACTCTCTTAGTTTGTTATTTGCAGTAAATGGCCTTTCCATCCCCAACTGCAACCTCCACTGATTCCTCCCCCCCCCTTTTTTTTAGAATTGAAAGATTCTTACTATTTGGCTTCAACTGGAAGTTCATTCATTACTAATTTTGTTTGGAGGAGATTTCTATTCATTATTTTATTTATCCTACAGTGTAGACAATATAAGACAATAGATTTGTTTTACTCTGTTTATCAAAAAGTTGACAAACTGCAAAATGTTTGAAGTCCTGAAAATCTGTTAATTATGATCCATAATTATAATTATGATCTTTCCCTTGCCCATTCTGATCATTATCTATCCTTCTTTCAAAGGACTGTTCTTCAGAGTGCTTGTGCTAGTTTTGTGTTAGGAAGTTAAAAGAAATATGGAGCAGTGAAACACAGTTGAGAAAGTTTTATTTGCAAAATATACTCTTGATATCATGTAACTTTGTTTTGTATGAAAGAAAGTAAAGTAGATTTGATAATTACAAATTATATAATAAATAAAACATAACCCCGCCCAAAATTTAGCAAATATAGAATGAGCAGGGAAGTAAGCTGTGTAAAGCTTTGGACAGCTTTCCTCTACATGTCCTTGGGAAGCCCTGTTTGTGATCGATTTTGATCTTTCTTCTTCACTTCTGCCCAGATGTCTGACAGATCTTGGATAAACTGCTGGATCTGAGAGCAAGGAAGAGGAAGGTCAGATTTGTACAATAAGGGGTGACTCCCTAAGAGCACAAGATAGAATTTACTGCTGCTTTAGAATTTAAGACTGTTGGAATGGTGGCTATCACTTGGGGGTAGAGAAGCAGGAAGCATCTCTCTCCAAATGCAAATAGTTATCATTTAATGATCACAATTGGGTTTGGCAATTTGGTTATTAAGCAAAGACAGTCACTAAGTGAAACTGTGATGGTGACTGTGCTTACAATCATCGTACTTCACTTTTCATTTTACAGGCCTGTGAAGTTCATAAATGCAAGAATTGGTCATAAAGTTACTTTTTCGTTACCAATGCTTTCCAACAGACCACAGGACTTCTGTGGCCATTTCTCTTTGACTGCTTGCTCTCTGCTTGAATCAATTAAGTTTTGGTGCTGCACTAGTCAGACCCTGAAGCTTTTACAGAGATGTTATCAGGATCTGATGCTTTACCAGAACGCCTTTCTGCCACCTTATGTACAGTTCTACTTTCTGAGTACTTTCTGGTATTTGGGAGGTAGTTGGGATAACCAAACCAGAATAAAAACTGACAAAGTACTGTACAGACCAGGATATGTGCTAAGTCTACTCCTAAGTCCAAAGGGATTCCAGGCCCAAATAGAGTTTTTCTGAACCACAGGCAAAACATGCTTCCTGCCCCTCATTTGAATAGTGTGGTAGAAGAAGAAATAAAAGTCATTCATGCATACCATATCCAGCTGCCTGTGAGTGTCCTCCAGAGGCACCATTAAAGTTTCCTTCATCTGCTTGTTTACACTTTGGTAAAGATTCAGTGTAGCCATTTTGATGGTGCCCAGCATCAGGGTTTTCTTTGCAGCAGTATTCTGGATATGAGCCCAGCGGGACTCCTATGGAAGAGACAGTGGCAGAAAAGAACATGTTGACAGGATTTTGATGAACTCCACTAATTCCTGCTTACATTATAAAATGGCCCTCAAACAACCATGAGGGACATGGCATAGCAAGCAAAACAACCAGTCTAGAGAGACTCTCTAAGCCTATTGTTCAAAGGAAAGCATCATCACGGATGGCCCTTGGTGGCTCTGGTGGAACCCTAAGTGAATTGTGGTTGACCCGCTCTCTGAGCTTGGAATTCTGCCTTCTATTCCTCCTAATAAACCAGTGTTGAGTGCAACAGATTGTTCTTGACTTCCGAGACTATGGTTTGCTCACAGGTTTCCCTGAGAAAGAAAAAAGTACAGGTAGTCCTCAACGTGCAACGACAATTGAGCCCAAAATTTATGCCTCTAAGTGAAACATTTCTTAAGTACATTTTGCCCGAATTTTATGACCTTCCTTGCCATAGTTGTTAAGGGAATTTCTGCAGTCGTTTAAGCTAGTAGCACAGTTGTGAAGTGAATCTGGCTCCCCCATTGACTTGGCAGGTCGGAAGGTTGTAAAAGGCGATCACATGATCCCAAGACACTCCAAAGATCATAAATATGAACCAGTGGCCCAGCATCTGAATTTTGATCATGTGACCATTGGAATGCTGCAACAGCTGTAAGTGTGAAAAACGGTCATGAGTCCCTTTATTCAGTGATGTTGAATGATCCCTAAACAAACTGTTGTAAGTCGAGGACTACCTGTCTCCTCACCCCGCACCCCCCTCCAATCTGCTTACCCAGGCAATGACGTCACTTCGGGCATGGTCAAAGCGCAGCTGCAGGCGGGCCAGCTCATTGTTGTGTTGCAGAATCTCATCATCTTTTTCCTCTTTGTAGCGGGCCAGGCGCACCTTGGCTTGTTCAATCAACTCCAGCCCCTCCTGGGCTGACTGCAGGAGATCCCGGTGCATCCCAACTAGAGTTTTATAGCGTCCAATGACTTCCCGGATTTCTTCAAACTGCAGAGGTTTGATGCCTTAGGTTACAACTATCCTGAGGTGGCAATCCTTTTTAGACTGGGACAATCAAGGGTCGATAACAACTAAATAATAATAACTTAGACACCATGATGACAACTACGGAATCTTTTCCAGAGTGTAAGGTTGATTAAGTTCAGAGAAAATACACACCCAGAGATGAACTTGTCTATCACTCCTTCACCCTGGTTGCGGCTGAATTAAACTGTACATTGCACAAATGCAATACGCACAGGAAAAATCTTCAGGATAACAAAATTTACCCTCAGTATTCGTGTAACTTTATATATATCCTGAGGTGGAATACTTTTCCATGATGTATTCTGTAATTCAGACTTTGCTGTTCAATAATACAGTATATCATTGGCTAATGATATATTACATGAGTGCTAAATGGACTATGTGTTAAGTGAACTATGAATTTCTGTGGGGAGAGTCAAATGCTACTAAAAGTTCTGTACTGACCTATACTTGGTTGACCAAAACATTACAGAAGAAAGGACAAATCTGTCACTGAGTTAAGACAATTATTCCCAATCTAATCCTTTTTACATCTGTTGAAGATTGAATCTTTGCCATATGGGGTAATTATGGGTGGGTGGGTTTAAGTATACTGGGAGAATCTTAGGTCAGAGAAACTTCCCCTAAGACTTTCCTTAGCAATTCTTTTCTCATACATACCATACCTCAGAGACTTGCACCACCTTCTCCAAATACTTGTTGAAGATTGAGTATTGCTGTAGCTTGTTGTAGAGCTTTTGGTGCTGCTGTTTCAGAGCTGCGATCTCTAACTTGACCTTGGCGAGCTCCTTCACTCGCTGTTTCTTCAGTTCTCGTTCCTTGTTGGCTTTCTTCAGAGCTCTGATCCGTTTCTGGTCATTCTCCTAATAATCCCCATATTGAATACATCTCCCACACCCCGATGACCCAAAGACAAATAACAAAGGCAAGAAGCAAAAAAAAAAAAAAAAAGGTGGGAGGTAGGGAAAAGGTAATTGAAATGTTATGGTCTTCATGGAATATATGAGAATGACAGTATTTTGGAAGAAATTGCCTTAAATCAGGTCAGGATGATGGCCTAATAATGAACCTCCAGGACCTCAATATACTGTATGTATATATATATATATATCTTTTTAAAATTTTATTTTATTCTTTTATTGGAGAGATGTGGTGGTGCAATGGTTAGAATGAAGTACTGCAGGCTAATTCTGCCAACTGCCAGCAGTTCGATTCTCAGTGGCTCAAGGTTGACTCAGCCTTCCATCCTTCCGAGGTGGGTAAAATGAGGACCCAGATTGCTGGGGGCAAATATGCTGTCTCTGTAAACCACTTAGAGAGGGCTGTAAAAGCACTATGAAGCGGTATATAAGCCTAAGTGCTACTGCTATTGCTATTGGAGATGAAATTGAACTTGCAGTCTTTTGTATACAAAGCAATATATTTTTCTGACTGAGATATGGCACCACACCAGTCCATTAGCTTGAGGATCCCATGGAAGCCTAGAGCCCATTAAATGGCTAGTATAAATTTAGTGTGCATTCTTCCTGTCTTTTTGTTCTTATCATTTTAAAATTGTTTTTAATGCATAAATTATTCTGATCATCTAGTTTTAAATTGCATATGCCACCCAGAGTGAGATGGGTAGCTATATAAATTATAAGTCTATTAGTCAGTCAAATCTTTGGCTGGCCCTAGTGTGGCCCAGTATGAGACTTAAACCAGGTCCTTTCTAAATTAAGGTGGCCCCTTCTTTGTTGATTTTTCTAAAATTACTAAAAACCCAAAGATTTCAGAGTACTTTTCTGGAGTTTCTCTTTATTTTTTATTTTCCTCATATAATATTATTGTGGTTCTACTTATCTTGCTCATTGTTATTGTTTTTTATTTATGACTAAAGAATGAAGATCTGAGCTGCCTAGGCTATAACCCAGGTCCAGAAAACTTGCCTTTGTCATAAGAAAGAGATGTGGCCAGGGCCGGATTTTCCTATAGGCTAACTAGGCTTCAGCCTAGGGCCTCAAGATCAAGAGGGGCCTACATTCAAATTGTTAGCAAAATTAAAATTACACTTTCACTATAGGTGAAAGGGCCTCATAAGTGGAATAGCCTAGGGCCTCTTTTCATCTAAATCCGGCCCTGGATGTGGCATTGTTCAATGACTCTTTTTGCTAAGTTGGGCCATGATCAGAGAACCAATGAGGACCTGCAAAAAGCACCATTCTGCCTGGTCCATTGGCAACAGACTGAAAACTTTCTGGAACAGCATCTCACCAGGGATCAATACGGTCCCTCACCTGGCCATATTTAAAAAAAAATGTAATACCCTTTGGGCAAGGTTGGATGATAAACTCTTATAAAGTTCTATATGCTGGTTTGGATATTTTTTTTCTGGTTTTGATATGCATTGTAATTTTATTTGTGTATGTTGTTTCTAGCTGCCCAGAATGGGATGATGGCCTCATAAAGGTGTTAAATAAATGGACGAATAAATAAACTATTCGATGCCATTTCTTTTCCTATTGTGGAAACATATTTATGCCATTGTTGAAAGAGGAAATAATTTTGAACAGCTATGGATTTTATTACATATAAATCTTGCCTATTTTGTTTCTTTTCCAGTTTGACCCTACTTTGCAACCTTTATTACTATACCTGATGGGAAAAGAAACAATTAGTATATAATATGCATGGTTTAAAGAGAACCACAAAGAGAATTACTAATTCCTAACTAGAACAAACAAGTAGCTCTTGACTGGCAGCCACAATTGGACCAGAATTTCGACCACGAGGCAATGCAGTTGGTTAAGCAAATTATCAGATGACCAGATCCGATTTTACAACCACCTTTACCATAGTTGTTAAGCAAATACTGCAGTCACTAAGCAAACCACACATCATTAAATAAATTACATGGTTCTTAATCAAATCTGGCTGCTCTTATTGACTTTGCTTTGTAGGAAATTGTCTGAGAAATTCACAAATCTCAATCACATGACCACAGGATGCTGCAACCATCGTAAATGCAAGCTGGTTGCCAAGCACTCAAATTGCAATCAAATGACTGCAGGGGTGGTGTGTCACTTATAACTGTAGGTCATAAGTCACTTCAGTGTCATTATAACTCTGGACTGTTGTTAAACAAATGGTCATAAGTCGAGGACTCCCTGTTAGGATGGAGCCATTACTCTTAAAATAAGGTGTTGGAAATCTATAAGGAATCTGTACCTGTATGAATTGCTCAAATTTCTTAATATATGCTTTCAGCTGGACTTCTTTTGTACCAAGCTCTTCCCACCTGTTGTTTAGGGATTCCATTCTTGTTTTAAATGCCTAAAGGGTATACAATAAGTCATTTAATTATGACAGTCCTTTTCTTCTGTGGGTAGCATGAACACAGTTAACTTCCACCAGGATACAAACTGGATCCTAGATGGGATCAAACTTTATTATGGTGGCAACGAATGAATGAAAATAATATAACAGAATAACAGAGTTGGAAAAGACCTTGGAGGTCCTTTCTAGTCCAACTCCCTGCTAAAGAGGGGAGGTTTGGCATGGAAGTATTCATTCTGTGTTTTCAAAGGGTAAAGAAATATGATAGATGTGTTGTTCTCCCTTCCTTCCTTCCTTCCTTCCTTCCTTCCTTCCTTCCTTCCTTCCTTCCTTCCTTCTTCCTTCTTCCTTCTTCCTCCTTCCTCCCTCCCTCCCTCCTTCCTCTCTTTCTTTCTTTCTTTCTTTTCTTTCTTTTTCTCTCTATCTCTTTCTTTCTTTTCTTTCTTTCTTTGTTTTTATCTTTCTAATTTAAATAAATTAAGAGAGAGAGGGAGGGAAGGAAGGAAGGAGGAGAGATAGAAGGAGGGAGGGAAAGAGGGAGAGAGAGAGACAGTGAGAGACCTCCTTTTGAGCTTCCATGGCCTGATGCACCAATTTGGCCTCTTTCTTCTTCTCCAGGAGTCGAATGGAAGGAGATGGAGACTGCTCCTCTGACACTGGGAATTTCCTAATCAAAGAGAACAAATATTTCCAATGAATAGCAAAGGCATATCATGCCATAGTACCTGTGCAAGTTGTTCAAACATCTTTACATGGCAAGGGCAGAGTTCTAACAGAATAACTGATTGTATTTGTCCCTAAATTAACTTTCATTCAGAAAAGTGTCTACAGCTCCAGGCAATGTGATCTAAGTGGAAATAACATGCCCAGTTAATCAATGGACTTTGGGAGAAGGAACTGAAGAATTAAAGATAATCATGGACTAAAAAAAGATAAAAGCAACAAAGGATGTAGAAGGCAAAGGAACCTAGGAGGAAAGGCAAGTCAATGGATAGCTGAGTCCATAGCAACAAATATGGCCTTTAAATTACACTTTGATGGAGATTAGTACTAGTATCTAAGGTATAGCGCTTAGTGATATAACTGTTGCTGAATAGTCAACAGCACGATCCAATTCATCTGTGGGTGAAAAACAGTTGGATTTTAGTTTCAAAAAGAGAATATTTTTGAAAAGGTGGTTCTTTACAAATAAGATTTCTTTTGCCCCTAACTAGACAAACTCCAGAAGTAGACTTGAAAGGGTGTGAAAAAGTCCACCACAGCATGATCCTGACTGCATAGCAAGGTTTAGGAAGTTAAAAAAAAAAGTCTTCCCCTAAAAATGTAAAATCTTGCCTAGAAGTTAAAACTAAAGATCTACCCATTTTATCAGTAACAAGCTAAATTAAAACTCGAATCTTTAGCACCCTGTTGGAAAAGTTGCTTATGGAAGGTTCAGCCGGTGTTTTATCCAGCGAAATCTTGATGTGTTTTTTTAAGAATGTATGAATCTATGTACATATGTACTGTATGTATTATATTTATTTATTTACTTTCACAGTTACTCATTAGAGCTTACATATTCCAATCAAAGGAAACTTTGAGAAGATTCCAAAATCCTCTTCACTAAGAGATTAAAAAAAAAAAAAAACAGAAGCAAAATGACAGAATTAAATATTATTACACCAGATAAGTAATCAAACACCCACACATATATTGTTTGGATCAGGGGGTGGCTCTACTTACTTTTACTACCAGTTTGCAACGGGAGCACGCGTGCACACTTCTGCACATACACAGATCGCCCATGATGATGTCTGGGCAGGTGGGCAGAGCCTCCCGCAGCTTTTACTACCAGTTCACAAGAACCGGACCAAACTGGGAGGAGCCCACCACTGGTTTGGATACTGGTTAGAGAATATACAGGTAGTCCTTGACTTAAAACAATTCATTTAGTGACTGTTCAAAGTTATAACAACACTGGAAAGTGACTTATGACCGTTTTTCACACTTACGATGGTTGCAGCATCTCCATGGTCACATGAACAAAGTTTAGAGATTTGGCAACTGTCTCATATTTATGACGTTTGCAGAGTCCCAGGTCACATGACCCCCTTTTGTGACTTTTTGACAGGCAAAGTCGATGGGGAAGTCAGATTCACTTAATAACTGTGTGACTAACTTAACTACTGCAATGATTTACTTAACAACTATGGTAAGAAAGATCATAAAATGGGGCAAAGCTTACTTAACAACTGCCTCACTTAGCAACAGAAATTTTGGACTCAATTGTTGTTGTAAGTCAAGGACTACCTGTGTTGTATCTCCAGTCACAAGGATGCCATATCTGTAACCTTCCTATGACAGTTAGTTTTGCTTATAGATGATCCAATTGATTATTACATATTAAATTCTTTAAAAATTGTTCTACAAAGTCTTTTATAAAAAGCATCTCACACAATTTTTAAAAAAAAACATATTAATAGTAACATGGTAGAGGGAATCAAATTAAGGCTACAGCATTGAGGAATAAATGAATTATCCCTCCCTCTGGTTTCACAAAAGCAACCTGATATCCTATTGTATGATACTGAATTTTAAGCTAGATGAAACCTTGATCTGATCTAATAGATGTCATCTATTAAATGTATGTTCGCTTGGTTTTGCGAGGAAGGATTCAGAAGGGAAAAGATTCCATAAATGAGAGAGTAAGAACAGGGCTCAGAAAGGGGAAAGCAGAGAAACGTTTTGGTGGAAAAGACAACAGTTCAGAGAGTTGAACAGAAACAATGGAAGGAAGAACAGTTAACTTACATCAACAGTTTCAACAATTTCTGTCCATATTGCATGCGGAAATACTCGCTTAGATCCTCTTCATCCATGGTGGTCATGATGGCCGTCCACGTGCCAGGCACGTCCTGACCACTTTCACCTCTTTATCTGAGCTTGGGAGTCAAGCAAACAGATTTGAAAAGCTGCCAGAAGCTGATGCAGTTGGAGCCCTGGAACTTTCAGAGGAAGATACGGAAGATGCAAATGGTTGCTTAGCAACAGTAGGGATTTACTGCATTGGGAACGATGAAAGTCCTTTGGGAAGTCATGATTTGCTCTGTAAGTGGTAGAACTTAACAAGACCTCCCAAATTCAACAGCCCCGTTCTTCCCATTTGGTTGTAACTGAGACAACCAGAGATAGTATAAAATGTTGTCATTTAGTGTTTTGCTGCAAACATAGGGGAAGGCAGCTGCCATTTGTGCTAAGTTAATGTCACACACCAACGAATCATAATTGTTTGTGTTTATATGTGCACATGTGTATATATGCAAAATCATTCTAGAATCCACAATCAGAAGAAAAGTTACAGAAATCTGCTTTACCCCTTCATTTTAAAATCAGCAGCATTTTTCAAAGAAAATATAATTGAGGTAAACAGATCTAGCAACAAACTAATTTTGCTCACCAGTGTTACACTATATGTACTATTATATCTTTCTTGCCACAGTGCATCATATGAAAAATATATGCAAAATCTCTGAGCGGGTAGTAGCTGCATTCAGACCAACCTAATAATTAGAAAACTCATAAATAAGTTTTCAAAATCTACAGCTCTATTTATCAAGCAAGGTGATACAAAAAGGAGATTTGGCTGGGCAGAGAAAAAGGGAATTAAAGCAAGCTAGTTGTTTTTTTGTTTTTGCTTTTTTAATTAATGAAAATGTTTTGCCCTTTGAGATAAGGTTCAAATGCCTGATAAATTACTCTGTGGTTTCTATAGGTAATATCTGTCCTTGTAGATTTTAATGGATTTTTTCTTAATTAAAAATTGAATCTCCATTTGCACGCACATGAGCATGCGTAACTCCATTTGTGCAAGTGGTGGGCACCCACTGCTTGTGCAAATGGAGCTGCACACACAGTCATCCTCCACTTGCATAGCCCGGTTCCAAATGGCTCGCAGAGTGTTAGTGGGCCATGGCCCTTGGGTTGGGGATCCCTATTTTAAAGGACACTATGTTTGCAAACCTGAGTTTCTAATCACTTACACTTAATTTATTTATTTGTCGAATACGTATTAGATAATATATATAAGTATAAGCATGAATTGAATACATAAAATGAATACAATTAAAGGGAACATTAGGACAGGGACGGTAGGCACGCTGGTGCTCTTATGCACGCCACTTACAGACCTCTACAATACATAATTGTATTCTAAACTATTGAAGAACTTGAAGAACTTCAGAAGGACAAGTTTGAAAACACTGGGAAAATCTGCCTTCAATCCTGAATAAAAGAAAAATATTAACTGTGAGCTTAAAAATGTAAAGAATCTGAAATAAACAGCAAAATAAAAAAGACTAAATAACATTTTGGTCTTAGAAAGTTATAAGGCTAAGGGTCCTGATATAATTAGACTATTGAAACTTTTACAAAAAGATTTTGGAATTAATTTTAAAGAGCAAACAGCTTCTTGTGGGAAATACTGTAGATCCTATTTAGGGTTTAATAAGACATAATATAAAGAAGCAGTTTCATGATTTCAAAAACTGAACACTAAAGAGGATTAATGATTTTAGGTAGAGGAAAGATATACAGACATGTAAAATGACATAAAATGTCATGACAATAAAGATACTAAGATTTTTGAGTTATAGAATAAGAAAACAGCAGCCACAATATCAACAATGTCAGTTATGAGATCTGCTTCTATGAATAGATTAAGTCCAAAAGATGTTATGAAGAAATGTTGTTAAGCCAGATGTAGAAAAAAAAGTATATCTGACAAGATAGAGATGGTATTGAAAGTGGATTTACAAATGAATGTCTTAGAAAAGGATGTTTCTCTGGATCTATGAACAAAGCTGGCTGAAGTTTTAAAATTCAAAGGGAGCATACAAATGACAAATATATATATATTCCTATTGGGTTTATAAGCTTGTTTTATAAAATTTGTCACATTTGTGTAATGTGACAAAGAAGAAATGAAGAAAAAACAAATCTGACAACAATATTGAATGAACTAAAGATTTAAACTGTTAGAATTAAAAGGAATGAATATAAAGTTGGTTTATTTGTTGAAGGTTAAAAGAAGATACATTGTTACTTCTGGCAACCTTTTATGGACTTTTTACTGGCATCAGAATTGAAAAAAAAGTTTTATAGATTTGTTTGTAGATAAAAGATGGGACATGGGATGAAGAGATAAATGTTGCTAACTTTAGAGGAGGTGAAGAGTCACTAAATTCATGTATACCTGTGATGGTCATAAATAATTTTCTTTTCTCTTTCTGTATTCTTACTTTTCTCTTTTTTCTTTTTCTTTGCACCTTTTAGTCCTTTTAATTTTCTGTAAGTTTAGTTCGTGCTAAATTTAATTTTAAAATTTTTTAATTTTTAAAACCAAAGATAATGGGGGCTGTTACCAATTTCTGAAAGGTATCAGTGAGAGAATGGAATGGAAAAGGATAAAACAGGGCAGAGGCCATTTTTTTTTTCTGAACATAAAAAATAATCTCTCCCAATTTATATTTAATAGTGAATTGATCAGTTTGACTACAAATGTTACCCTCAGAAAAATTTTAGGTAATAAATGTCTCATTTGGAAACGTCCTTATTCTAACATAAAGCATATGTTTTTGTGTACATTAATGGAAACAAATTTTAGACAGAATGAAGAGAAAGCATATTTTTATGCTCCCTTTCAGAAAGAAGACAGAGAGCCTTTGGAGGAGTTGCATTTATCACTGCTGAATGCTAGGGGTGCACTTGACAGACTCTCTTCATCTTGTCTATGGGTCCAGATGTGTCCATAAAATATTATGAAGCATTTCCCAGCCATGTGTTTTCTCTTGTGGGATTGTTCTGTAGGTCCTAGTTTAATTATAGCTAGACTATAGGTAGGAAAGTAAGGTTTTATATTTCCCTGCTGAGGGCTCAGCAATATTTGCTTTGTAACTATGTGGAGAATAGAAAGCCATGTTTTCTATTCACATTTGTTTCCCCTGAGAGGGAAGTTAATCTATTATGGTAAAGCTAGATGTGTGGTTAGCCTTTCTGTTCTTTTTTTTTTTTTTTAAATACGATATAGATGTAACCATGCTGGATCTATCATATGAAGAACAGGGTTCTTAAATCTTTCTCCCAAAACTTGCCATTTGTTCTTGTCAACCATTTGCTCACAATTTCACCTGCTGTGCTGCAAATGAGGACAATGTTGCCTGTTCAGTACTCTTCTCTCCATTTCCAATATTGTAAGAAACTCAGCTTCTGGGGATAGGTGGGAGAGGAGGAGATAGAAACCCCAATTCTAACTGGATTTTTTGCAGAAATGAAATAGACAAACACTTCTTTAGAATTATAATGACAAAACCTCCCTTTGAATGATCTGTCGCTTAGAAGACTGAAGTTCAAGTCCATCCCCAGCCATGGAATTGAGTTTGGGCCATTTGCTCTCTTTTAGGACCACCTACCTCACCAGATTGCTGTGAAAAAATAAGAGGAAAAATGACACCTTCTGTCTTAAGCTCTTGATTAAACAGCAGGATATAAATCTAACAAATCTGTGAATATTTTTCATTGATTGTTGTTATGATATTCTGAACAATGTCGACAAGTTAAGGGAAAAGACAAGAATAAATAAAAGGGACTAAAATATTAAAAATGAAAAGGAACTTATTGGACCTCCCTCTGAGCAGATAATGGAATCTGAAACTGCAGGGGAGAAAAGTGCTGAAGAAACATGCTGGTTAGAGTGATCACATGAATAGATCGGCCCTGTTCATCCAATGAAGCTGGTTTTTGTTTTCTTTTTCTCCATCAGGGACTTTGTTTCTGTTAGCACCTTCAGAATCATCATTAATGCCTCAGAAAACACATTCCAGTGGTCGCCCTCTTCTGTTCTCCTTGTATTGGGTGACCTTCAGTTTGAAAAGTGAAGGTGTGAAGTTCACCTGCAGTTTTGGATTCAGGTTTCATGTACCTAATTGTTGCCTAGGAGTTAATTGCTGAAATTATTTGGTTCTTTGTCAGTTGAACTTTTATTTCTGAATGTCTTGCCACTTTATCATGAAAAGATGAAAGGATGGTTCACATGCTTTTTGTATATATTAAAAAACTCAATCCCAATGCATTTTGCAAAAAAATAATAATAATACAGTATCTGTCTTTGTTGAAAAAATATTTATTTATTTGTCAGATTTATATGGTCAGTCTTCTTGATTAAATAACTCTGCAATAATTGGAACTTGGGATGTCACAAAATTGGAAGAAGCAGGGCAAATCAACCACTCAGATATATGCAAGATCGCTCATGATGAAGCAGAGTGGCCCTTCATTCTGATTTAATGAAGATATATTTGGGGCTGAGATATATTTGGACTGAGAATGGCTGGAGGACAATAACATAGATTTGCAGATGGTGCAGAATGTGGTAGCCAGATAGCTGAGCAAGGTTCCCATTGCCCATACACGTGTCACGCTGTTGAAAGAGCATATGACCATCAGCTACATAGCCAGGTTCAGGATTTTAATATTGACACAGAAGACCTTTAACTACAGTGCTGTGGTTTCCAAAAAACCTGACAAGGTGCTTTCAGCATGATCAGTTATGATTGTGAGGGTTGGCGTCCCTGAGTATGCAGAGAATTGTAGACGATCTTGGTAATGGCGTTTTCATTCTAGAATGCTTCCTGAAATATGTATGGCACAATCTTTTAGGCATCTAAAAAAAATCTCCCCTTTCTGTGTCTGAATGTGAAATGAATAGTTTTGGTTTTGTTCCCCTCTTTTCCTTCATTTTTATTGCTTCAAATTCAATGGCATATAGGAAAGTAAAGTATGACTTCAGCAACAGAGTGGTCAACTCTGGAATGCTCTAACCGACTCTGTTGTTACATCCTCAAACCCCCACAGCTTCAACCTCAAACTGTCTACCGTGGACCTCACCCCATTCCTAAGAGGTCCCTAAAGGGGGTGTGCATAAGCGCATCAGCATGCCTACCGTCCCTG